GACCCGATTAAACAATTGACACAAAGTCTTAATCAGTTAGTAAGACACTACCATGTCTCTTGATGTCTATACTTATACGATTTGAGAAATTGTTGCTCACTTTTCGCGATAGCTAGTATAGTTTTAATTGTTTCATTCACATTACTGCCAAAACTGAGTGTCACAAAATTACAAATAGAAATAATCAAAATAATAAAAAATAATTGAGAAGATATTTAGTTTAAACTACATAGTGATCTTTTTCAAAAATAGAAACAAGAGTTAATAGAAAGAAGGCTGTGTATCAAAATAGATGTATCAAAATGCCGCGATAATGTTAAACTTACAGTAATGTATTAGTATTGATTTGAGCGTGAAATTTCAAATGCAATAAAATACCGTTACACCTTTATTTCCGAAGCATTTGCATGAAAAGTCACCCGTGCTATATTTAGGTAGGTGTCCCATCCCCAATGATGCTACTATTCATGACTCACGACACAGCAACTGATCTTACAGTAAGAACTCACTACATTTCACTCTGCTTACATTATGAGTTATGTGTTATGTACCTGAATTCATGTAGTTCTCTTAGCGAAGTTTTATTTATATTTTCAACCATTTCCTTCCATAATATTATTCCCATAGGGGGTTGCTGTGTTTATTATAGGTTGTTGCACCGTTCCACCTATTTCCGTATTCTAGAACCTTTTTCTATATATAAATTATTAAATCCTTCCTCTCTTCTCAAAATTACAACGTACGAATGTTGCGTGAGCGTGAAATTCATTTCTAAAACTGTTATACATCATTTCAGTGAAACATGTGTTACTTCTTACATGAATACTTATTTCTTTTCGCCGGAATATTTCTCGATTAAATTACTGCGTACCGTACAATGAAAAATGCTACTACGCGTTGAAAGTCGATAAGTTCGAACCCTTTACCGCACAATATTTATGATGGCACACACAATAAAAGACTACGTATACGATAATAGACAAATGATACTGTTAGCAGGTATTTCTCTTATGATACCTACTAAAATATGTATAAATACGCTGAGAACATATCTTCAGGAAATCATACTGAAATCTTACTATGCGGGCATTTTCTAATTCTTTTGCAGAGAGGAAAAAACGTTACCGCTTATTGAATTCAAACACGCAATGCGATCCGTCTCTCACATACATACTTCATGATATGTATACCCATGCCATACGGAAAAACGCAAAAATGTTAGCATGTATTATTCTCTACGTAAATTACTGCGTACCGTACAATGAAAAATGCTACTACGCGTTGAAAGTCGATAAGTTCGAACCCTTTACTGCAAAATATTTATGATGGCACACACAATAAAAACTACGTATACGATACTCGACAAATGATACTATTGGCAGGTATTTTTCTTATGATACCTACTAAAATATGTATAAATACGCTGGAAACATATTTTCAGGCAACCACACTGAAATTTTACTATGCGTGCATTTTCTGATTCTTTTGCAGGGAGAAAACGTTACCGGTTATTGAATTCAAACACGCGAAGCGAACCGTCTCTCACATACATACTTCATGATATGTATACCCATGCCATATGGAAAAACGCAGGAATATACGTTCTCTTACGGTAACACCCCTTTGACACCCTTTCAGCGTGAAATTGAAGCAAATACGTGGATCATTTAATATGTAGCAACTCGCGAAAGAGCTGGTACATTTTATTTTCCATATTATCGACTTGCAATACGTTAACATACGTAGCACAAAGCAGTCATGCGAAGAAAAGTGATGCTAGAGGAAGTAATCTCGGTCGTGAAGTTAAGTTTGTTCCCAGTATGGTCTTGGCCTCAGCCACAAGATGCGACGCAGTTTAAGTTGTTCTGTGTGAAACTGCATCACTGTTTATGCATAATTATAAAGTTGGCCTTCATATTATCGATGATATACACTATCACAAATCATTTTGACGATCCTGAAATCTTTGTACAACTAATTCCTATAACAAGCGGTCTTATTCACACCAGTCTTAACTTAATTTTTTATACAGTTAATCACCATCATATACAGGTAATTAACATATATTTGTTTAAAATTTAAAAATCCGCATGCAAATTAATTGAAGATTAATTCAAGATTTAGAATTTTATTACTAGATATATCCTGTATATCAATAACAAATATGTCAAGTAATTATTTGCAGAATGTTACTTTCGAAATGGTACATTTTAGCGGCTTGATGAAACCTCATGAAGAAATTGTAGTTCAACGACACATTGACAAATGTGTGGTGTACCATGGTGGAACTATATTTATTTACTACATGGCTACGTTCTTAACGATCACATTACCTTTTGTAACGCAACAGTCATTTCCAACATTAACCGAATATCCATTTGATGTGTCTCATCAACCACTAAAAACAATAATTTATATACACCAATCTGCAGCCGGAATATTAGTAGCAGCACAATTATGTATTAATCCTTTCATGGCTCTACTGCTCTGGTTTGCAACGGCAAGATTTGAGATATTAACTGAAGAACTGGGAAAAATTACAAATGCCTATCAGTTGTTCAAGTGCATTAAAGAACATCAGGAATTACTCAAGTACGTATCACAATCCTTGTCTTGTACAAAAATAATCTAGTTTAGAGAACTCAATTTCTACGGGTCGCAGACCGGATTTGACCCCCGTGAAGTTTTATCCGGCCCGCCAAAGAATGTCGGCATTATACATATACATATATATGTATATGAATATACATATGCGTATATGTAGTTTGTAATATACATATGTACAGACGTCAGAAATGCCTTTATACCTATATTCACTGTCAGTACTGAAAATCTATAGTGTACGTAACGTTCACTGGGGGGTGGGGGGCAATAAATATAGATAAAAAAGGGATTTCTGACACCGTGTGTACAGTTGTGTCTTTGGTTCTATAGTTTGGTCATCGTTGCGTCCGAATTTTATATTATAAAAGAATTTTGAAATAAAGATATTTTGTTTTTATATAATTTTCAAAGATAAACCTTATCTGGTTCTCGATCCTTACAAAGACTTCAATGTGTGTCTTATTAACAAAAAAAATCGGAGATTCTTATACAATTTAATTTTAACAATTTAAGTAGTTTTGATGCATTTATTCAGATACACTGAAGAAGTTGCAATTGCTGCTCGTCCTTTCGCATTAACCACTGTATATTGTAGCACGGTTAGCATGATATGCTTCTTTCTTTTGTTTATCACAGTAAGTATAGGTAACACATATTATAAAAATCTAGTATTAATAATTTTCCCTTAGAATTTATAGATAAATCCACATCGATCAGGGTCTGACACTCGATCTCCCGGATTTAGTCCGCGATTTTTTGTGTTATTGTTCCAACTCTAAAATGCACTCCGATTTTTTTAGATTCATATTTTTTTTAAATAAATTTAATTTACTTAGAATTTTTAAAAAAAACGTATTGTTGGCCACAATTTAAAAATCTGAAAAGACTCAAAAATCGTATGTCAGATATCAAAATTTTTAAGCCTTGACCCAGAGTGGGCTG